CCAATAACGTGCCTTCGTCTTCTTGACAATTTCTCCCACGCTTCTTTGAATACAGGCATCCTGAAGCTATACACGAAGGGATTAACTAAAGAATTGGCAAGATGGAAAACATTGACCGTCCACATCACGTATGGGTGAAAACACCTCTTGCAGATGTGCCTACCTATGTAAACAGCAAACGCTGGCAGCCAAAACAGCAGCGACAAAGCGATCACCACGAACAGAGTCCTTGAAAGTCGTACGTTATACTCAGCAGTTTGACGGCGGTTGACAACGGCTACTTCGGGTGCAGTGCTGCTCAATCGTGTTTGTATTTTGAGGTAGCTCGCACAAATCATCACAAAAGATATGAAAAGGCAAAAATGTACAACAACATGAACAGTCTCCCTCGCCAGCTTTAGGTAATAAAAGGAAAGAGCCATCAGACCAAATATGAAAATTCCTACAGCCCATACAACGACAATACTGTAGATGTAAACGCGAGTGCTAACAACACGATGACGCAACGGTTTTAACACAGCAAAAGCGCGCTCGAGGGAAATCAGAGCGAGAAAAAACACCGATGCACTTGATGCAAAAAGTTGCATTGCTCCTGGTAGACCATTTTCTCTTTTTCCCCTCAGTGGGTTTGTTTCGTTAATTCCCCTCGGATTTGACGTTGTCGCCGTCATCTGATGGTACTTTTCCATCCCCAGAATTATGGGCTCTGTAATACCCACAAGTAAGTCAGCAACGGCGAGATTTATCAAGAGATAACAAGTTCTTCTTATATGCGATTTCCGAGTCGGAGTTAAGAAAACAAAGATGGTGAAGGCGTTTCCAAGGATGATCAATGCAGCCTCCACTACAAAGACAACAACAAAGATGATCGCCACATCTTTTGTCAACATTTTCCCTACTCTATCACATAAGTATCTGCGACTAATTGGAATATTACACCTCGGCAACGTTATAGTTCAAGTCAATTAAAGTATTTATAACTCTCAGCTTGTAACACCCAACCGCGTTTTTTTTTCTTTTTGGGGAGGTCTCCTTTCAACGATGATGCTGGTGATATTGATACTGTGCAACTTGCCGGTGTTGTATACGTGTACTGTATATTAAAATTGCCTTCAAGGGTTGTTTGACCTAATGAATAATATCTTGCTCAGTCACCAACAGCCTTCTTAATGCTCGCTGTAGCACCAGTAGCACTTTATCTAGTGTGATATCCCTTCAATCTTATGGGTACAAAGAAACAGTTTTAAGTTCAACTGTCAACAGAGCAGAAAGAAGTTAAAGAGAGAATGATGGGTGCTTCCTATATTGATATCATGTCCTCACATTTCCGATTTAAATTATGTGGTAAATCATGCCAAGGCGAAAATTAGATTACATTTGAGTTTACTCAGTTGTTCCTTTTCTCCACCAATGAAAATAAAGGATTTCATCTATATTTAAAAGAAATTTGAGTGTTACCTTCACCGAGATGTTATTTTTCATATCCGTGTAAACAAAATCGGTAATAATATTGACATTCAAAACATCCTACACCATTTTCTTAAAAGTGTGCTCTTGACTTTCAAGTAATTTTTAGCGAACAATTCCAGCAAGGACCACTTGGACAAACTGTAGCGCCAGGGAAAGCCGGATCTTGAAGTAGATCAGGCGGATCAGCAATATATATAGAATAACACCTAAACAATGATCAATTGATGGTAATTTATTTCCCCAATATTTCGGTTAGGCAAAAATAATATTGGGAAAATAAATTACCCATCCAAAGTAGCTGTCCTATAAGCCTTGCCTTCAGTTTTGAGTATCATAATTTTGGAATACAAGCGAATCAAGGCAATGATTAGAATGATCGAAACAACGCTTTTTGAATAACTCAGTAATACGCTAGCGCAAGAGATTTGAGGACATCTAAACCACTCTGATGGCGGGTTTGAACTCTCTTCTTACAGGTATATCGAGAAGATTTCTTGTCTGGGTACACACCTTCCTTCCATAACCCATTGAGGGTCCTGTTTATAAGCCAATCGGGCATGAAAATGATCGAAAATACCTTAGAACGCGGTTTTGTTAAACACTGGCTAAATTCGTTCAAACAACCGTGCCTTATTGACTTTTTATTAAATAATTTCTCTATTATATTGTTGACGAAGAAAAACTCAATTTCCGTTTGGTTTGACATGCAGTAACTTTGCCGTACTTGCGAACAAAACAGCAGAGTTGATAACTTCAGCTGTAACTTACTTATTCATGACGATGCTGATCTTTGGTTTCGCCAAATCTATCCATTTGTAACTGCTTTATGTGTTGACTGAGTTTTACTAGTAACGAATAGTTTTTAATCGTTGAAAGAATTAAGCATTGAAAATCACAATGCTGAAAAATGCAAACACGCAACTGTCAAATTTACTAGAAATTAAACATTCAAACAAAAAACATTCAATTAAAATGTCACAAATTTGCATAATTTCAAAACAACTGGCATTTTAAAAACTTCATCTTCTGATAATTTCGTTACGAAATTTGCGTGCTTAATCTTGGCAATTACAATAGTCCCAAACCCAATTACAATAGAAATTACAATAAATCCCAAACCCGTAGCTGTAAAAGTTTTAACTTTGTCTGTGACTGCCGAACCAACCTTACAACAAGAACGAGCTTTATTTACATGACCATACAAACACATACAGTATTGCAAAAGCTATGTTTAGGAATCAAAATTACAACACAGGGCAATTACGTTACTTTGATAATAATTTGTCACGAACATCAAAACAAGCTGAAATATATTTTATGGATTGTATATTGATAAAGTAATTAGACGAGTTCATCAGTTCATTGATCAAACCGTTTATAGGTAGCTGGGTAATATTTGGAATCACAGTCGACTTTACAATTCCTAATCGCAGAGTATGTAGGACATTGAAAAAGAAAGTGAAATTCGTCTTCTATTACATTGCATCCGCAAAAAGGGCAATGCCTATTTAATATCCTTCGTAGTTTGATTGTATCTGCCTATTTCTATCATTAGTTTGTGACTGCTTATTCGTAGTTTTACTAAAGCCCTTCTCCCAGCTGTTCCTCTCGTTAAGTCCAAGTAACTAGAGGAGGTATGATCGGTTTTAAAAGATCTATAAAATTCACGTTTTTGAGAATGTTGAACGGTGTTTTGTGAGATATTCCTGTTTCACTGAACTTATATAGCTTTTCGCCATAGCTATATCTAATAAATCAGGGTTTAAGTCAGGAAGCTTAAAGTATTCTGACATATTCATTAAATGAGAGTGGAAGCTATTTTTGCCGTGTAAGTCGAATGACATTAAAAAAGCTTGTTTGACGAGAGATTCCTCATCTTTAGACTGTATATACAAAATGTATGTGAGAATTTTTTGATTGATAGTGGTATTTAAGGTGGCTCCCTAGAGTATTTACTAACAACCCTAGCTATCTAGCATACGATACAAAAGGAAATCTAGTTACTTTGTCTTTGCGATTTGGTTCACGAAATTCACCGATAAGTTTACCAATGTAAAAAGGCTCCTTTATCAAGTTTCATTTTCTGGATTAAGGCCGTTGCCATGGCAACATCGCATCCTTAAACAGGCAGTAATTTTGTCATTTTTGATCATTTTTTCTTAATATTTCTTATTTCCCTCGGTGAAAGGTCTTTAAACTTTGCCACTTTATGTTAAGGATATTGCTTAACATTTTAAAGTGGAAAAAACACGGGGTCGTTAAGACGGTTTTGCCAATATTTTGAAATTTGTAACTTTTGTTAATAGAGGAGTTTAGCTCTTACAGATTTTAACAAGAGAAGGACAGTACAAAGGTACTGCAACTGTTAAGAAATGAGGTGATTTTTAAAAAAAATTACCGAAGGAAACGTGAGAAATTCACGGTTAATTAACTGCGCTGACGTCACAAAAATCCGCAAAACACGCGTGGTTCGAGGTCGTATGAGCAAAATACGCGCGCGAGCCATAACGCTCGCATGCGCATAACGCACATAGCTGAAAACATGTGATTTCTTCGAAAAGTACGAAAGCCATTGTTAAAGCTGTTTATCAGTATTATTACGGTGATGTCTCGGCTGTTGAAAGAGGAGAGATAGCGGATTCAATTTTATACCAAACACTGGATGTTTTCTTCGAAATACTTAACCATTGTAGCCAAAATTCGAGCCGTGGTGGCCACTACTCGTGCGGATGGCGATCATTGAAGATGAACGGGTGGTTTTGCAAGGATCGCGATAAGGCCTTCATTTCTTAATCTGCTGTACCGACTGTTTGCAGATCTTTAAATGGCAGCCCAATTCCGGATACTTTTTCAACCTTGTTGCTCTTTAGAGATAATTTTGACGGGAAGTTTTTCTTTAAAAGCCAGCTGTAAAAGATGGCGCCGATCTAAAAAAAGTACATCACGTCCTCAGCTGCACGTAGAAGACTGTAGTTCTCGACGGATAACCTACTATTGCTTTCGTCAATGGTCAATCTGTGACTCAGACATTATTTTTCGTTGTGCAACAACATTTTCTAGTGCACCTTGTGCGTTAAAAAACTTTTGAAAACGAAAATATACAAGGATGTTGGTTCGTCGATGGGAAGGTTGCTTCGATCAGGATGCAAGTTAGGTAGGAAACCTTAACCTAACCTTCTGATAAGTTTTTTAAACAATGTGATAGAGTCGGCAAAACAAAGACAAATTTACACTTGCTGTAATCTTGCCTTAAAGCCACTTCTAGAATTTCTTAATCGAATCAAATGTAAGAGAAATGAAGTGACCGAGGAGCGCCGCCGGTGAAGACATTCTTCAGTGGTTGTTCGGGACTTGGCTCGATCTTTCAGATATTTCCACTGACCGTGAACCAAAGGCCAGAAACAGTAACATTGCTACCTGTAGGGTTACTATACTCATTTCTTTGTTTTCTTTTTAAAGTTTCCATTCACCATTTACTTCGACTATTTTACGTTTGTCTAATTTTGAAGCGAAAGAATTGATGTCTTTGG